TATTAAATCGAAATTGCTTCCATAAATCAATAAAATTCAATAAAATCAATTTTTTGAGGACTTTTCGCTTTCGACCGACTTATAATTTATAATTTAAATATTAAATGGGTTTGCAAACGGTTAAGTTCTCTAATAAATTTCACTCTTATATTAGCCGACATATTATATCCGAAATTTACAAGTCACAGACTCTTAACATAAAAAATTTATGATTGAATTAAGTGCTTAGATATTTCATTTTACGTTGAATTTTTGAAGCCTATTTAAGAATGTATTCTGCAATTTTAATTATAAGTTTGTAAATTATTGGAAGATAGAAATTTTTTACTTCTGTTCTCTCTTGAACTCTCTCTTTTTCTTCTTTTCTTCTTATGACTGAAAGAAATATTTATGATTCACATTAAAATAAATATGTGAACTTAATATCTTATGAATAATTTCAACAACATGAAATTTTAATTTCTTAAACTTATTTTCGAAAATCAAAATTTAATATATAATAGCATATACATTTCGAAAAATAGCTTAGGTGGTTTTCTTATCACATTTACAAAATTTCAATCTTTTTTTGTTGGCCACCTTTTAAATTTCAAAATATCCAGATAATATTAAAATCGTATAAAGGACCTTATATCATTTAAAAGAATAAATGTTCAATAATAAATATTATGATCCTTTAATCTTTGTGTGTGTATGTATGTATGTATGTATGTACGTATTATATATACATACATTCGGGCGTATTGAGTACAAAAGAGAGTGAATTATTTTAATGAATCCCTCTGAAGGGACATTTTTATTCTTTTTTGTTATTTTTATTTTTATGCCTATCAGAATGTTGAGGGCGAGAATCACAAAAAAAAAAATTTATATTTAAAGGTATACTCTTGTGTTTGTATATGTTTATAAATGCATGATTAAATTACAGTCAGTAATTTTTCTTTTTTTTTTTGTTTATATTTGTTTGGTTTATATATATGGAGTATACGTATTATAAGGACATTATAATGAACTCATACATCATTCTAATGTATAACAAAAGGAAACCGGTCTACAAGTAGTGGATAATAAAGAGATTCCAATAAATAAAGGAATAAAAATAAAAAAATATTTGGCTCAATGTATAGGGAGTGCATTATATTTTCTATATACATAATATCATACATGTATGTCATACGTGTTTGTAAGTCCCAAAGGGATTTTCGTAATGATTTGATTTATTTCCAGTAATTTAGTAATAATATTTTATTAAAAAAGAATTTAATATGAGTATATGATGACTATTTTATATTATTTTTGGTGGTATTTCAAATATTAAATTAAAAAGAGAGTATAAAGCTCGCGGAGTAGTATTAAATTATAGGTCACTGATACATAAAAGATTTTCATGAACAAAAAATAAAATTTAAATTTAATAATTCACGTGCCTACGTTTTTATTTGAGCTTTTACTCATTAAAATTTATATAAATTTTAGTAGTAATTTAGAAAAGAAATACGATCCTTCCTCTATATAGGTGATTAGAAATTATTTTCAAAATGTTTTTAACAATAAATAATTTATTATTGCTTTAATTTTGAAAATAATTAAAAATGAATAAAATCACCGCTTTTTTTTTCGTTTTCTTTTTTCTTTTTTGTAAATCGATTTAGTATTTCAATAATAAATTATAAAGATGTTATATAGATATACATACATATACAAAATACATAATAAATGATTTTACTCTGTATTTTATTCTATAATACAAAAGGATTATTATTATTAAAAGGATATTTCATTATTTCAATAAAAATGTTGTAGCTTTTCTAAAAAAATGGGAATTTAGTCTGTATTATGTACTGAATTATATTCGGTCCTATTAGGTTTATGTAAATTATTTTATAATGATATTTTAAATTGCTATACTGGTGTTGTTTTAATATAACAAATATTATGAAGATTTTTTGTTGAAAATTCTTATAAATATCAATTTATTATTTGTAGAATACTAGTAATTTTGTAATGTGAGATCGGAACAATTTACAATTGAATTGCAGAAAATTTGTAGAAATTTCTTTTAGAAATATAGTTCAAGAATAAACTCTTTAAGATGTGAAGCACAACTAACTTTTATTATAGGTCCATAATACAGTAATAAAAAAACAATTATAACAATATCGTTACAAATAATCTAATTCTTTAATAAATGAGCTATTTTTAATTCCATTCCGAGGAAATTTTCCAAAATGTAATACGCCAACAATTTGATTTCAGGCAAATTTCAGCTAAGTTAATCAATCATTTTAGGGTAAAATTACACTACAATTTACATATATTTTTTAAAATATTTTAATATTATAAAATTTTGTAATTTTATCACTCATATTAACAATTGAGAAATCTCATAAAATTGATTCATTTTCAATTTTCTCGATTTTTTTCTTCATAATTTGGCTCAAATCCATCCACGAGATTAAATATTACTTTCTTGAACCTGCAATCTTATACACTCAAATTGAAACAAAATTTGAAACGGGTAATTTTCGAAATTTCAAACAGATGATGTATGTATTGTGATGACCCTTCTTGTAAGAAGGGTCATCACAGATCTTGTAAGATCACTGGTTTACATAAAATATTCTGGTAAAATACTAAATTACGAATATTATAAATTGAGCTAACATTTGCCTACAATCAAATCAATTCATTTATTTTAAGAAAGAAATAAAAGAGGGACTCCATACTTCTTTTGTTAAATAATTTTTTTTTTCTTTCAAAACAACATTCGTTTCAAATTGATTGCTCTTTTTTCTATTCATTATTTCCTTCTTATTTTTATTTGTTTTTTTTTTTTTATTCTTATTTTATTTTTTACACTTTAATCTCGTCCTTTTGTCAGGTTTAATAAATATTTAAATTTGATTTAGTAGGACAACTAAGAGCCATATTAAATTATCCTTTTAAACTTTTTCCATTTTTATAATGCAATATAAAATGTCCATTATGGATAAAATTTCAAAAGATTTTCCATTTTCAAACATTAACCATTCACATTCAATTTGGAAACAAAAAAAAAAGAAAAAAAATTAAAACAAAAAAATTTTTTTTAAAAAACAATCCAAAAAATGTGCAGCTTTTAAAAAAGGACTATACACTCAAGGACCATTTTATGTAAGTGTAATACCTAAAGGATTTGAAAAAAATGTATATGTAGGAGTTGAATGTATATACAGTGTAATACATTTTTTTTTATAAAAATAAAAATACATTATGGAAACTCAGATATTTTTCGAAAAAAAATTTCTCTTTAGTGTGGTAAAGAATATTTAATTTAAGTTGAAATCCTTAAAGATGTTCTTGATTATTTAGCTTTGAATTTTGAATTTATTTAAGTTATTTTGAAATATTTTTATATTATTAATAATCAATATTATTAAGATTGATTTTTATATGCATTTCAGAGCATGGATTTAGAATTGCAATCACATATACAAAATTAAATAATGTATACATTATTGTATGAGTTGATATGAATTAAGGTACAAATATTAAATGAAATTTCGGTTCCAACTCATACATACGTCTTATTACTATAATATTTCTACTTGATTGATTTTGTTCAAAGAGTTTTCGATTCGCTTGTGTGTTCTTTTAAATAAGTTTTTCAATAATGAAGAATTTTTAAAATTTTTAATATATGTATAGATTCATATTGACTCTACTTAATTAAAACAAAAATTATTATTATTCAATTCATAAATTTTCTATATAATATGATAAAATATTGAATCTTTTGAAATTTTGTTCATAATAGCTTAAAAATGTCGGAATGTTTGCAAGGAATAGAAAGATTATAGAAAAACCTCAATATTTATTGAATTTTGGCCTTCCAAATTAAATTATATTTAAAGTTATACTTGTGATTAACAAATCTCTAGTACTTAGTAGTGACTAAGAAATAACTGTTATACATTGACGATGTTAATTGAATGTTAATGAATTTGTGAGTAATTATAAATTTCTTTTTTCCCATCTAATCATACTTATGCTTATTGAGTTCCCACCCACTTTTAAGAATGTTTATTTAAAATAATAGAAATTTGAAGTTGTATAAACTTGTTTTGCTTTCTGTAATAGCTATTATCCCTTGGAATGTCTTCAAAATGTTATTTGTTGGTAATTTCGAAATCACAAACATGACGTTTTATTTCTATCGTGAAATAACATATGGATTACAAACTAATCATAAAAAATAAAAGTCGCTAATATTTAACTTAATTGTTTTTAGACATATAATTGTAGAAGTTGAAAATTTTAATAATTTCTATAGATGTTGGTTTGATCCAATTTAATTAAAAACCATTTTAGTAGCTAATATTTCAGAATAAAAAAAAAACGTTTTATGCTCTCAGTACTTTATCTAACCCAAGGTGACTAGCTGTAATTTAAATTATTTTTTCATTTTTTTTTTCCCATATAGCATCTTGAGGCCATAAAAATAAATTACATTTAATTCGTAAAACCTTCATATAAAGTATTCAACAAAAAAAAAAACAACAATTTATAGCAGCTATATTTATAAGAGAACTCGCTTATATTATTCTAATTTAATTTTCTCATACATATTATATTAATACTGTAAAGAAAAAAACTTCAAAGTGAAAAATTTAAATATTGTGTTCATCTCTACCCTATATCATTATTCTTATATTATTACATGAACACACTAATTTTCTTGTACTTAATTTTCATAATAAATACATTATACATTTCCTTTTTATTGTGGTTTGTCTTCGTTTAATGAATTTTCATTGACTAATTTAAATTCAGTATTAAATTTTCTATACATATAATAATAAAATTTTTTGGAGTAGAACAGTATAATAAAGAAAAAATTAATTTATTTCTTCGAATACGTATTTTATCTATACAATGAACGCTACATTGAAATTGCGGCAAATATAAGTATGATAATTTAATTTTTACTTAATAAAATTAATATGGAAAAAAAAACTTACCTAATACACCTAACCGGAAATTTAATGTTACAACAATAACATTACCATGTGCAGCTAATACAGAACCATCATACGGATTTCCTGAATTCCATTCATATGATTCACCATGAATATAAACAATTGCTGGTAATGGTTTATTTTGTGGATCATCATTTAAACTTGTATATGCTCCACCATTTGTAAAAGTTGTTGTTGAACCACTATTAATATTATTGATACCAACATTTGGGCTATTAATATTTATATTATTAATATTATTGCCACCAATACCACCACTGTTACCACTATTATTATTTCCTATATTACTACCGGAATTACGATTATTACCACCTGTATTAGTATTAGTTCCCTGTTGTTGTTGTGATTGTTGTTGTTGCTGTTGTTGTTGTTGTTGATACTGTTGTTGGTGTAATGGTAGACCATCTGGTTTTAATAAACCCAAATTAACAGTACTCATAATATCACCTGAAATTTAAAAGAAGAAGAAAAAAGAGAAAATATTAGTTTTTCTTTATTTTTTTTTTGGTGCGTAAGGATATATGACTGTTATGCTGTACAGCTATAAATATACAATTATGTAAACGGAAAAATTTCAGAATTTTCATTTTATATTTATTTATTTTTTATATATATATATAAATTTTTATTATTAATTTCTGTAAATTTATACAATTTGGTATGTACATATAATAGAATATAGGGATAATAAGTCTTCTTGTTGATTAGATCCTTTTTCTGTTCTGTTCTCTTTTGTTTTTTGATAAAGAAAACATTAAAAAAGAGGAAGAAATAAATAAAAATATATAAATGAATTGTTTAGATAGATATATTATCGTACAAGAAATTATATTGTACAGGGTATGCTTCTATTATTTATAGAATTTTTAAGTAGACTACTTTATTTTGTTAGAAATGTTCAACACTGAATATTTTTCTGAGTAGAGTAGAAACAGGAGTCGGTTTTTTTTGTAATGTATTTGAAAATTACAAATATTTGTGCATAAAAAAAATTTCTTTAAAAAAGTTATTCAATTATAAAGAAAATTTAAACTAAGACAAATTTTAGCCAAAACTCAATGACAATTTTTAGCAAAAAGCAAATTGTAATCAGTAATTTTTAATTAGTTTTTAAAAGAAGAATATTTAATCGTATTTAATTGTAATGAAGAAATTTAATGAGCGAAAAACACCCTATATCGTAAATACAAGCATACTTTTAAATAATCTCAACGAACCTATACCTACGTATAAATATATTTAAATAATTTTACGTTCTTCTTTTCATTTTTGATGAAAATTATGTCAGTAATTTAAACAAAGTGGAGATCTATCTACCACTACCAGTGGTAGATAGAGCAGAATAATAATAATAAGAAAAAAAAAAAAAGTGATTTACATTCATCATAAAGATGAGGAAAAGAAGGCAAAAAAAAAAATAAATAAAATGGAAAAGAGAAGACGTTCAAGGATATTCTAACACAAGATGGCGCGCGCGGATATGATAAGAAAATATTTTTTTAGTCAAAAAAAAAAACAAAAAAAATGTGCGTTACATTTCTCATAAGAATCTTATCTTTTTTTGCCTTATTTGATATTTTATTAATGTCGAAATTGTTAAGGGATATGAATTTTATATAATTTTTCTAGATATTATAATTGTAAGTATATATATGTGTGTATATTTATATAATAAATATGCCTATGTATATTATAAATTATTGACATATTTTACAAGGTCATTTTAAAATTGTATTATGATTATGACGTTATGGAATGTACACGCTTTTCGTGTTTTTATTTTATCATGAGATTACAAGGTTTTTCAGCTATAAAATGGCAATTCATTAGAGACGACAAGATTTTGAAAAAAAATATGTTTTTGTTTTTTTTTTTTTAATTTAAAAATGATATGAAAATATTTTTACATCGTTTTGTTTTGTGTTTGTTGAATGATATTAAAAGTTTTAGAAAAACTGCATTATAAAAAAAGTTAACCGTAATTTTAGAAATTGAAATTTTTAAAATTTTTAATTTAAAATTTTTTTATAAATCAAATTTTAGTGAGAAAATTATTTTACGTGTTATTTTCATGTTATTTAATTAAATTTAGATTTGTTATTTTATGAGCAGAAGCTTACATGATTTAAATTTCTCTAATGATAAACACATATTTTTGAATTTGGATGGAGTTAAATTTTAACTGAAAACTACTACGAGAAGAGCATAATACATATAAAATTCTAATACACATACATAGAAAATTGAATGTAACAAAATATTAATAACAATTTACACCTCACCATTAATGAAATTCGAGTCCAGGCCAATTGCTCTCAATGATTTTGAAATATTTTATAAAATTTGCATTAAATTAAATTCGGTGTGATTTTGATGAATTATTTAATTTAAAGAAATTACAAAATAAAGCTAAAATTTGTTTGATCAATTTCAATATGGAATTTTTTCACATCAGAATATTATTACTATTTTTAATTTTCAAATTGGATTTCCACTGTTTTTGTTTTGAGTGAAAGTTTTTCAATCTCTACGAAAAGAATATCGAGAATGTTTTTTTTTTTTAATATTTTTCAAGATTTTAAATTTATTTTAAATATTAAATGAAATTATAAATTTTAGCGCATTTCTTTTAATGCCACGTGAGGTTATTAGATTAATTAAACAGATACACACGCTTCATACTTTGCATATTAATTTTTTTTTATGTTTAAATACATAAATTGATTTTTAAAATGGGTCCTTTTACCATTAAATATGGTAAAGCGTGTCGAAGAGAAAAAAATTATAATAATGAATTTTTATTTAAAAAAGAAATAAATTTAGATCTATACAGCTACAACACTTATCGATTGCGAAAGAGGTGTTCTGTTTGTTTATTTTAAGACACAAAAATAAATCGATTCATGTTTTCTGATTTCATAATTTATTTTTGAATAAATTAAAATTTCATATAACATAAGCATATCACGTGTTTCTTTAAATCTGTAATTTGTCTGGCAAAAATAGTTTGATTATGATTTAATTAACTTGCACAAGTTCACTATAAATTTTAACAAGGCGTTTCTATATTTAATCATTTTTTTACCATAAAAATTCTACCCATTCTTATGGTCCCAAATAATCAAATTTTTGTGTTTAAACCCCGGAATATTAAATTGAGTTACCCTATGTTCTTAATTGGATTTAATCAAGAAAATTTTCTTAAATTTTATAGTGCGGCACTATGAGATATAAAGCAAAGAGCACGTTAAAAGAGAATAGAGGAAAATAAAATTTTTTGTTTCTTATATTCTCTTTCATGTTTTAAGCAGTTCTTTATTCTTTGTTGTTGTAATATTGTTTGTGCGTCATATTTAAAATTTTTATTTTTCCGAAAAGGATGTAAATTAGAATACTTAAATTTAAGTATGACAGTTGGTATACTCGTACATACTTAGCCTATATTAATTTGCTTCGTTTTATTTACTTTCGTATTTATTTTGTATAAACGTATAGCAAGTACGACTATTTGCAAAATGTTATAATAGAAGCAATGAAAATATTCTATTGGTAAGGTCCAGATGTTTACTTAATAAGCAAAATTTAAATTGAGTGTTGAATATATTATTAAAGGGACTATAATTTTCATAAATGTGCTCAATTCTTATGCGATTTTCTTTTTCTTTTAAATTCATAAAATATAAACTGAAATAATATTATTTAAATAATTTATAAGAAAAAATATAAATTTCGTGTAAATAATAGTATTACAATATACGTATATATACTATAAGGTAAAATTCATGGAAAATGAAGATATTATTATAATTTTATTGTAATGAAAGACGTATAAATTAATATCTTTTTTTTACTAAGCTCTGTACTGTATGCATAAATGATATAGAAATATGCTTATGTAGGAAAAGGTAGGAAATATTTTATGAAAAATGTTTAATCTAGAATTCCTTTGTATATTAAACTTATGTGTTAATATTATCAGCCTAACCGTTTACCTCACTTCAATCAGATTTTCAAATCAGATTTTCAACTAAACGTCTCACCTTCAAAAAGAAAGTGAATAAATTTTGTATGAAGGAATTTAGAAAAAAATGGGATACATCATAGGGAATAGTTCTTCTCACTCGAAAATAACATTCTACAAATATATAATAATTACTCTTTAAGATATAGAAGATCAGGCTCTTATTATATACATAATATTGTGTGCATTATGCATTTTAATTTTATTATTTTTATGATAGCATTATTATACAGCTGAGATGAAAGGTTAAATGGCAAAGTTATTTCGTTACTTTATAATCTTAACATTTTGAATGAATTTTTGGGCAAATATTATTAAACGATTGCAATTTATTTTAGTTTGTGTGCGTAATTAAAATGAGAACAACAGAAAATGTCGAATAATTCTAGGAAATACCAAAATGGTATATTTATTATACCAATTATTTTAACGATTCGGCTATATAATTTTTTGTATTGGTGTGGGAAAATTTATTGTATTGAAATGTGCAACATGTTATGAAAAGTAAGAATGACAGAATTTTATTAATATTGTCCATTAATAATCAAATAAATAAAATATTTTTTCATTAACTTTTCGTCAATTCAAACTTTTAAAGTTGATTTTATTTCCTGGTCAATTTCTCGTTTGAAATGTTTAGTGTCTTAAATAATTTTCAAATTAAATTTAAAATACTTCCTAATCAATTCGATAAAAATTAATGTTATTAATGCAAGAATATATTATTTAAAAAATATTTTCAACAAAGTTATGAGGTAATTAAATTTGATCATTTTCGTTAAGGTACAAATACGAGAATTATGTTTGACTTTTTAAAAAATATCTTCTAGATCTTATAATTATTTGGTAATTAACATGCTTCTAGTTTTTTAAAACAAAAAAATTTGTTATAAATGAAAAAATCACAAACTTAAACAAGAAACATTTTCTTAAAAGGACTTTTTTTGGCTTGATTTTAAAATTATTGATTTATTTTAATTATTTGCTTGTAAAATAAATTCAAAGAGAGGAAAATATTACAAAATTTCATTTTATTTGAATATAATTTACATTTCTCTTTGAATACTTTTTCTCTATTTGCTTTATTTAAAAAAAAAACACAGTTTGCAATAATGATTTTTCTCTTTGATTATTTTACCGATGTACTTTATTAAAGGTTATGATGTGGTCAGCAAAATAGAATATCGGTAAAAATAATGTATACATAAATAAATTCGTAAAATAATATTAATTTTTCATTTCACTTTTTTTCTTTATTTATTTACATTAATTTTGCAATTTATTCTTGATTTTATATTTAAAATAAGAGAATGCAAAATAAATGAGAACAATACCGGTTGACCTGTACGAATGTGTTTCAAAAGCTATTTTGACAATTATGTTTGAAGTTTTATAGTGTATTAAAATTTTGGACCTAAATTG